TCACGCATTGCATTTTGTTGTTATTTCTCTCGTCTATCTTAATCTAGAACAATCACTTCTCCTTTTATAATATTGGTGATTCTTTTTCTTTTAGTTTTTCAAAGTTTATTTTTTTTATTTTTTTTGTTTATGTATTTATTTTTCAGACAAAGACAGAGCAGGAGCAGGGGAGGGTCAGAGAGAGAGGGAGACACAGAATCAGAAGCAGGCTCCAGGCTCTGAGCTAGCTGTCAGCACAGAGCCCAATGCGGGGCTCTAACTCACCAACCATGGGATCATGACCTGAGGCGAAGTTGGACACTTAACTGACTGAGCCACCCAGGCGCCCCTAAAGTTTATTTTTTAAGAGAAAGAGAGAGAAAGAGAGAGAGACAGAGAGAGAGACAGCAGGGGTGGGGCAGAGAGAGAGGGAGAGAGAGAATCCCAGGCAGACTCCATGCAAGCCTAATGAGGGCTCAAACTCACAAACCACGAAATCACCACCCGAGCCAAAGTTAGACACTTAACCAACAGAGCCGTGAGCTGTAGTGAAAGCCCCTCCCAGGAACTTGGTGACCCCCTTCTTCCAGATCTGAGTGGCATTGCTGCGGCAGACTTAGGAGACAGGGAGTGCTGCAATTTTTCAGCTTTTTGGTCTCATGCAACCCACTTGCATACCTTGAGCCTTGGTTTCCTTGTCTGTGAAGTGGGCCCTGTAATTATCCCGCATAACAGTGTAGTTTTAGGGAGTAGTGCTATGACAAGGGACACCTGGCACGTGGCAGGTGTTCAGTAGATGGACGCTAATGTTAGTGAATAGAGCTTTGGGCACAACAATGGGCCGGTGGCCAGTGCTTGGGGCTGCCATCATCTCAGCCTAACAACAGGGTGACCGAATACTACTCCCCCAGGTGTTGTGGTGAGGTGAGGCTTGAAGCAGCTGTAGCCTTCCTGACATAAGGGACTATTAATTCTCTAATTAAAACAAGCCCATGGGTGGAGGCTGGCAGCAAACAAAGCCATTTCATAGGTCTTCAGAGCTGGCTACCAGTACGTGGTTTGGCGAGTGACCCTCTTTGCCTGCTTGTTAATTTAATCCAGGATTGCTGGTGGAAGTACCTCTGCCATGGCGAGGTCTGTGCATTGTCCTTTGTTTCCCTGGCTAACCTCGGAGTCTTTTGTAATACAGTTTTTAGGTCATATCATTTGCACATAAACTCTGGAGTTAAAATGAGGAAAAACTTGGGGCGCCTGGGTGGCTTAGTCGGTTAAGCGTCCGACTTTCGCTTAGGTCATGATCTCGCGGTTGGTGGGTTCGAGCCCCGCGTCGGGCTCTGTGCTGACTGCCAGCTCAGAGCCTGGAGCCTATTTCAGAGTCTGTATCTCCCTCTCTCTCTGACCCTCTCCTGCTCATGCTGTCTCTCTCTCTCCTAGAAATAAATAAAACATTTTAAAAAAAAAATGAGGAAAAACTCAACCTCTTGAGATTTAAAAACAATGCCAACATAAATTGGTTGAGTGTAGCTTTCTACATGAGAAACCCACCCCAAAAATATGGTTAACAAATTGAGCAAATGTTGGGGTGCAGGGAAGCATCCCAGTTGGCAACAGGACTTATGATTAGCATGTTACACTTTGGTCAGGATGCTTTTGGTTTCAAATAACAGAATGCATAAGTACAAGTGGCCTGAACGATAAGGGCATAGCTGATCTCACATGACTGGAAGTCCAGAAGGAGACGTCTGGATGATTTGGCAGCTCAACCACATCAGGGCTCTGTTTCAGCTTCTCTGTGATTCTCTTGGCTTTGCCCTCATGATCACAAGGTGGCTGCTGTGGCACCAAGTGTTACATACCATTGTGACAATAAACAAAGATGGCAAAAGGGGGGGGGGGCTGTCTGCTCTAAATGTCCCCCAGCCAATGTCCATATCCCCTTAGGTCTCTGACTAGATCAGGTCATATGCCTATCCTAAACCAATCACTGTCAGAGAGACCTGGGTGCCTAGCATGGGTCAGGCCAGTCGTATTTCACTCCCTAGGGCTGGGTCCACCTTTTCTGAAAATATCACCACTCTGAACAAAATGGTAAGGAGCAAAGGAGAAGCTGAGTGGACAACCAGCAATGTCTACCTTAGTAACTAAATACTAATTGTAACTAAATGCTGATTGTAACTAAATACTGATTGGTCCCCCTCCAATCAGCTCTGTCACGAGCTCCCTGAGAAGTGTGTCTGCATTGAGTCTAGCAAAGTTAAGCCAAAAAGCAAGATTTGAGAAATACCAACTTTATGTGCAGGGAGAGGTAGGTTCCAAAGAGATAGCAAGAAAAGGAGAAAACTCTGAGCTTTCCTTTGCCACGTCAAGTACAAACCCTATTGATGAAGTTTCAAAATAAGACATGTGGCTTTGCTTTCACAGAAGTTTGCCCAAGTAAAAAGAGCCGCTCCTTTTTGGTGGGAACCAAAAACTATCTTTGTAACAACAACACAGCCACAACGGCTCTGCCACCTGCCAAGAGCCATACAGCCAGGTGCCGGGGGTTGTGGTGACAGGCATGTGGGGCCATGGTCCTGGGCCCCCTCCTGGGCCCCATCACTGATTTCATGAGGAACTGGCAAGTACATTTTTGTTTGAAAGGAGCCAGCTACCAGTTTTGCCTGGCATAAAGGAAGGTCCAATTTTGTTCAATCTTGATTTTTCAAAAGGTTAAAATTTAAAAATTTTATATGAAATTGTCTCAGTTTAGAAAACTAGCAAAAAGAATTTTTTTTAATATCAGGTGGACCAAACACAACATCTGTGGATCATATTTTGAATTGCAGGTAAGTGGGTATAAAGGATATTATTGGGGTAATGGAAACGTTCTAAAATGCATTGAAGATAATGTTTCTGCAATTTAACTTGGTAAGTAACTAAAGATCATTCAATTGTACAGATGAAATAAATTATGTAAAATATACCTCAAAGAATAAAAAAATTTTTTTTGACCTGTAGGCTATAGACCTGTTGTGTATGGACTAGATTATTACTAAGGTCTTTCCAGACCTGCTTTTGGCTTTTAAAGGGACCAAACTGCTGATAGCTGAGAATTTACAACATCAGTTTATGAGAGAGGGAGTAATGCCTCATAGTTACTATGTGGGCCATGGAGTCACTTGAGTTCAGTTCTATCTTCCCCCATTACGAGCCATGTGACCTTAGGCAGGTTAATTCTCTAAGCTAGTTACCTTCTTGAGACTCAGTTTTTTCATCTCTACAATGGAATGGCAATAATAATACCTATACTCTGATTTCTCTTCAGATTGTATAAATTTTTCACCTTAATAATAATACCTAGTAGGTTAAATGAAATACCATGGGGCGCCTGGGTGGCTTAGTCGGTTAAGCATCCGACTTTCGCTTAGGTCATGATCTCGCGGTTCGTGGGTTCGAGCCCCGCGTCGGGCTCTGTGCTGACTGCCAGCTCAGAGCCTGGAGCCTGTTTCAGTCTGTGACTCCCTCTCTCTCTGACCCTCCCCTGCTCACTCTGTCTCTCTCTCTCTCTCTCCTAGAAATAAATAAAACATTTTTAAAAAGTAATAAATGAAATATCATGTAAAAACATCTGGCATATAGAAGTCTTCAAGTAATAATACATTTATTATTAGGAGTTCTTGTCACAAAGCGTATCTACCCATCTTGAGCCTGGACTGTGGGTCTCTCCTTTTCCTTCCTGGGAGATGGGCTATATACTGCTGTTGAGTGCGGTGCACTGAAAATACCATTGCTAATGCTCCATAATGCCTGTGGAAGGAGAGCTCTCCCTACGCCTTGGAGGTTCACAGTGCTCACAAATTTTCAACCCACATTTTCAGCGTAAAGAGTTTAGATTCAGGACTTCCCAGGGCTTCTAGGAGCTGCGTGCGGGTATGGCAGGAGAGAGAGAAAACTGAAATAGTATCTCTGGAGAAATTCAGGTTTAGGCTCCTTTTCCTCAAGAACTCAAGGAGGGTTGATTCTCATCTTCCTGTTCCTGTAGTTAAAGCCAAATTCCGAGGAACTGCTGGTATCCTTTGGAAGTTGCACACCAGAGACATAGAAGTTGAATGATGGGGCGCCTGGATGGCTCAGTTGGTTAAGCGTCTGACTTCAGCTCAGGTCATAATCTCATGGTTCATGGGTTCAAGCCCTGTGCCAGGCTCTGTGCTGACAGCTCAGAGCCTGGAGCCTGCTTCAGATTCTGTGTCTCCCACTCTCTCTGCTCCTACCCTGCTTTCACTCTCCCTTTCTCTCAAACAAACAAACAAACAAACAAGAAGTTGAATCTGTGACTCTCCACCCTCTGCATGCAATTAGTTTCTCTGTTTCCACAGTGGGCTTTGTCAGACCCGGCACTGGCTTGGGGCCACTTGGAACTCTGGGGTCCCGGGGTGTGAGGAAGTCGCACTGGCCATCTCCATTTGTTTGATTTTGCCCTGATAATCTCCACTCCACCCCAATACATGTTGCTCCTGAAAGGTTCGTGAGACACTCGCTTTCCCAATGAAAGTGAATTCTAATCTACTTGGTTCAGATAGTTTTTAGAGATATTCCCAACATATTACCTGAAAGGAAGGTACTTTGGTCATTACTAGGGCTTGGCCACTGCCCTGTGGACTCCTCTGCATAGAGGAGGCGAGAGCCCACCAAGGAAGAGCCCCTAGCATATCGAGAAACCTAAGAGGGGGCCATTCCCCAAGCTATGCACAGGGGGACTGGGGATGAAAACAGAGGGGCCCTTCAGAGGGAGAGTGTGGGGTTCAGGAAAAGCGGGAAGACACTGCCTGCACTCCCAGGCCAATCTGGACCCCTGGGCCTAGAAATGTAGTGGGGAGAGAAACGCAGGTCAAGCTAGGTGGTTTGTTCTAGCCCTCAGTTCCTTGTGTTCTCTGTCCTCTCTCTGCCTCGCTCTGATTCTGTTTGTCTTTCTCTGATTCTCCAGGCTCCTCCTCCTGCCCACATCCTGTTAACTGATGCCCTGTTCAGTCAATAAGGAGCCACCAGCTTCCTAAACAAACAGGGCATGATTACCAGCATTTGGTCCCTCCCAGAGGACTGAGGGGCTTGGGGTGCGCTGGGAACAGGGCACAGATGTGAGCTCATTCGGCCTGTCCTGTTGAAACTCACTGTCAGGTATGTGTGCATAGGTGGGGTGGGGGCCCCCTTTCTCATCCTCTGTCGCAGGGGGGAAAGCCACCCAGAGCAAGCTTTCAGCTCATTTTTGGTGTTAGGTGGGGGATAGGACAATGGTGAGCAGAGCAAGACCCAGGCTTGGCGTGTGATTTTAGAAACTTGAAATGAAACTGCAGGTCTTGAGTCATCCATGCGATCAAGGCTTTCTAACTGGCTTTTACTGGGTTTTTTGGCGGGGGGTTGGGGGGGGGGGGGAATGGAGGGGAAGAGAGAGAATCCCTAGCAGTCTCCACCACAGTCAGCTTGGAGTCTGACACAGGGCTCGATCTCATGACTATAAGACCGTGACCTGAGCAAAACCAAGAGTCAGATGCTTGACTGACGGAGTCACCTGGGGGCCCCAAGGCCTTTACTGTTCTGAGCAGAAAAATCTGCAGCATGAACAGTGGCTCAGACTAATGAATGCTTCCGTCTGAGTGACGGAGCTGTTCTCGACCTGCTGCCTCATTGTTTCTCCTCGTTCCGAGTCTCAGCAGCAATTAAAGTCTGACCTGCATGAGTGAGAACTTGGTTATACATTGCCTGGTGGTGTTCCTGTTGTATCATAGGAGTTGGTCCGGCCTCCCTGGCAAGAATTACAAGCTTCTTCAGGACTGGAATCCACTTTAACCTCCACCACTCAATAAATTCTTCTTGATTAGATCAGACTTTACCTGCATTGTGGTGGGGGTCTTGGTTCTCAGCTTTTATGGCCTTACCTTCACAATGCGTGGCACGGAGAGGCACTCAATTAATAGTTCCTAGATGAAGGAGTGATTTTTCTTTCATTAACAAGGGACAAGAGCGACCTTTCTGAAATGGTGCAGATGGTGTTTCAATCTAAACTTGCTCTGCTCATTCGAACCCAGCCCTGCCTTCTCTTCATGATTCCTCCAACTAGTAAAATGGATTGATGTTGGGGGCACCTGACTGGCTCAGTCCGTTGAGCATCCCACCTTGGCTCAGGTGATGATCTCATGGTTCGTGAATTTCAGCCCCGCATCAGGCTCGCTGGTGTCAGCCTGTCAGAGGAGAACCCGCTTCCGACCCTCGGTCCTCCACTCTCTGCTTGTGCTCTTCCAAAAATAAATCATTATTTTAAATATATTTTTTTTAATGTTTTTTATTTATTTCTAGGAGAGAGAGAGAGACAGCGTGAGCAGCAGAGGGTCAGAGAGAGGGAGTCACAGACTGAAACAGGCTCCAGGCTCCGAGCTGGCAGTCAGCACAGAGCCCGACGCGGGGCTCGAACCCACGAACCTCGAGGTCATGACCTAAGCGAAAGTCGGACGCTTAACCGACTAAGCCACACAGGCGCCCCAAATCAATCTTTTAAAAAGTCGGGGGGGAGGGGCACCTGGGTGGCTTAGTCGGTTAAGCGTCCGACTTTCGCTTAGCTCATGATTCACGGTTCATGGGTTCGAGCCCCGCGTCGGGCTCTGTGCTGACTGCCAGCTCAAGGCCTGGAGCCTGTTTCAGAGTCTGTGTCTCCCTCTCTCTCTGACCCTTCCCTGCTCACGCTGTCTCTCTCTCTCGCCTGATAAATAAAAAAAATAAATAAATAAAATAAATTTAAAAAATTAAAAAATAAAAATTAAAAAATAAAATTAAAAAGTGGGGGGGAGATGGATTGATGTTACTTGTTTCCTACTCAGTAGTATTCGGGGATGAACTGTGTCCTCCCCAAATTCATATGTTGATGAATATGGGGCCTTATTAACTTTAAAGAAGTTAAAATGAGGCTATTAGAGTGGGCCCTAATCCAATCTGACTGATATCCTTCTAAGAAGAAGAAATTTGGCCACACAGAGGGACACCAGGTGCGCACACACACAGGAAAGGCTGTGTGAAGACACAGTGAGAAGGCGGCCACCTGCAAGCCAAGGAGAGAGGCCTCAGAAGGAACCCAGTTGATTGACCCTTTGATCTTGGACTTGTAGCCCCCAGAATTGTGAGGAAGTAAATTTCTGTTGTTTAAGGCATGCAGTCTGTGTTATTGTGTTATTTTGTCATGGCAGTCATAGCAAAGCAGTACAGATAGAGATGTTGAGACACCCCCCTCTGCCTCCCCAGCAGAAGTATCTTCTGACACAGATGAAGTGCCCAAGCTTTCTGGAAACCCCTCATGTTAGGTATCACATGTGAGGGAGTTCCCACAAGGATGCTATAGTCCAGCTGTGTCTCACAGTCCAGCTGTGTCTGGGGCTTACTTTTTTTTTTTTTTTAATATTTTTATTTATTTCTAGGAGAGAGAGAGAGACAGCGTGAGCAGGGGAGGGTCAGAGAGAGAGAGAGACACAGACTGAAACAGGCTCCAGGCTCTGAGCTGGCAGTCAGCACAGAGCCCGACGCGGGGCTCGAACCCATGAACCGCGAGATCATGACCTGAGTGAAAGTCGGACGCTTAACCGACTAAGCCACCCGGGCGCTACTGGGGCTTACTCTTTCTGATGCTCCCTACAAACCAAACAAATAGGATCTCTGGCTCCATCACGAATTCTTTCCCTGATACTGGCCTGTCCAAGCTCTTCTCCGCACTGTCACATTCTGCCCCACATCATGCGAGCACCCCTGTGACATGTGTCACCTCACAATGTAAGGAAGTAAGAGGCTCCAGCTGCCCGCGGTTGAGGTGACTCCTAAAAGCATCCTCCCAGGGCTTGGTTCTCTTTGCACACACGACTGCACGAGGCAGTCCATCCACGGGCCGTGCAGTTTAAGCCGTCACCATCAGCAGTGCAGGGGGAGGGACAGGAACATGCTGAGCTCGTAGGCACCAGAAGAAGCGGCATGTAGGGCTGGCCATATGGAGATATGAGTCTGGACAATTCATGGGGAGAGATAGGTGAGACATAAACAGGCAGAAGACCAAAGGCAACTAATGAGTGGAGTCCTGATCAGGCCATTTGGACAATTGCCTGTTTGTTGAAGAGATCCAACAAGAAAGAGATCCACCCCTGCAATCCAGGAGTCCCAGAGTCTGTAGATAGGCAGGCTCTCCTCACAAGTTAGCCCCCAGAGTTCTTTCTCGGGTGCCTGTCGGACTTTCCCTTCCCTTCCTCCTGCAGACACCTAGAAAAGCCACTTTCTCACCTGTCTCCCAGGTCTGCTGTGGGGCATCATTTGCCAATGTTTGCCCAACCACCTAGGATGGGAGCTAAGCGCACAAACTCCGTTCAGGTTGTAAAAAACATTTTGTAGTTAATAACTGCAAGCTCTTCTTGGTTTACTTAGGCCTGCCTTCTTTGTGTTCTGGAAGGGTTTTAACTGACGTAAAATAGCACTTTTGAGGATGGTACCGGCTACACGGTGCCCACCCACACTGTGTTGTCGGGGCAGCGCCTGCCGGTGTTGAGTCAGAGCTGACCCTCTGTGAAAGGGTGTCTTGCCACTTCCTGTTAGTACCCACCAAGTTTTCCTAACCTAGCTGCTGTACTTATCCAACACAGCAAACGTTCTGTTGTTAAGTCCTTGAGAATGAGTGGGCACTTGGAGACGTGCTAGGTTGAATCTGGGAACCTCCCCACCTTCCGAAATGCCTCTACTCTCTCCCTCTACCAACTCTCCCACTCTTCCCAGTCATTTACAGGAAGATAGCATTGTACAGTCTAGGACATATGATGTTTCTCAATCTTGAGCAAGCATTCGAATCATGGGGGGTGGGGGCCTTGTTAAAGCCCAGAAACCCAGGCACCACCCACAGCATTTCTGGTCAGTAGATCCAGGAAGAGTCTGAGGTTTTGCATTTCTAATGCATAAGTGACAATGATGATTGTAGCCCAGGACCCAAACTTTGAGAATCCCAGGCTAGAATAATGGACGATGATATCTCTTTGAGTGTTGGTAACTAAGCATTTGATTTTTCCATGCTTCTGAATGCTCTCTTGAGACTGTAAGGAAAGCCTGGATCAGAGTCCTGAACAGGAATTGACAAATAGAGCCAATGGTGAATCTTTAGACCTAGTTTGCCCTAAAATGTAGATGGGACTGAGCCTGATTTTTCACAAGACTTTTTTTTTGAAGATACCGGTTTATTTTTTTTTTAATTATTTCTTTATTTTGAGAGAGAGAGAGAGGGAAAGCATGAGTGGTAGAGGGGCAGAGAAAAGAGAGAGAATCCCAAGCAGCCTCCACGCTATCGTCACTGAGCCTAATGTGGGGCTTGATCTCTCAAACCATGAGATCATGACCTGAACCAAAATCAAGAGTCAGACTCAACCAGATGAGCCACCCAGGCACCCCTCTCAAGCCTCATCTTGGCTCATGCTCTAAATTTCATTTAAGGAGGGAAAATTACAAAGAAGGAAGAGATTTTCTGAGCACCAATGAAAAAACATTATTTTTTAAAAAATATTGAAAATAGTCCATTTGTGTTTGTTGCTAATGCTAATTACCTAAAACACAGCAACTTAAGAGAGCACACATTATTTTCTTAAAATTTCCTTGGATCAGAAGTCCAGGTGGGCTCTATTTAAAGTCTCCCAAGCCCCCAAATCAAAGTGCTGATAGGGCTGCCTTGCGTTCCTCACTGGAGGCTCAGGGGAATAGCTGGCTTCTAAAGTTGTTCACCTGAGGGCACCTGGCTGGCTCGGTGAGGCAAAGAGCTTACTTAAAAAAATAAATTAAATTAAAAAATTTTAGAAATAAATGAAGAGGGGTGCCTGCCTGGGTGGCCCAGTCCGTTAAGCATCGACTTTGATATTGGCTCAGCCACGATCTTACGGTTCATGAGTTCCAGCCTCCAGGCTCTGCGGTGACAGATTCTGCCTCTCCCTTTCTCTGCCCCTGCCCCATGCACACGTGTCTCTCTCTCTCAAAATAAATAAATAAACTTAAAAAATAAATTAAAATAAATACATGAATAAACAAACTATTCACTTTGTTGGTTGTAGTCAGCTCCTTGAGGTTGCAGGACTGAAGTCCCTGTTTCCTTGCTGGCTGTCAGCCGGGGACAGTTTCCA